GCATTGCACTCTCAAGAAACTCGCTGCGCTCGTTTGGAACGCGAGATTCAAGCTGATCGTGAATTGGCTGGAAGTTTCGCGAAATTCGTGTCATACAAGTATAATTCCTTGTGCTGCGAATTGCAAATTGCGACTCGATCGGCAGAGGAGTATCGCCAAGAATTGGAACAGATCGGCCAGCTGGAGATGGAGATCGCGGATCTGCGTTCCTCTCTACTCGACGCCACCGCAGCTCGCCACAAGGCCGAGGAGCGTTTTCAATTTCAGCTGGCTGCCGTCCAGAACAAGCTGGCAGCTGCGCTTGATTCCGCCAAGTCGGCCAATGAACAGGCTGCTCAAGCCAAAAATTCCGAGAGCCAATTTAAGTCTCGCTACATCCAATCCCAACAGCAACTCCATGATACCCGACTTCAGCTTGACGCGATCCGGATTGAGCGCGATCAACTTGCGCAGGAAGTTAAGGATCGGAACTCTCTCTTCGCTCGTTTGTCTGGTATATTACACCAAACCGGGTCGCCGCCCTCAACGTCGTCACCAGCCGCTGCTTCTAGTGAAGTATCTCCACAACGGAACAAGCGCCAGCGAAAAATTTCTGACTCGGATCAGCCTGTGCTCAAGCGTATTCGAAGAACATCTACGTCCCCAAGTCTCCATGATTCAAGTCCCAATCATTCCCAAACCTCGGCCCGATCAAGTCTTGAAAATTCCGTAGCTTCAACACGATCAGGTCCGGACAATTTGAGATCGAGATCGCGTTCGCCCAGATCAAGATCAAATTCCCCCGATTTTTCTGGGTCACCAACCCCAGATTCTCCCCGAATCTCTTCTTCATCTTCTAAAGATCCGAGGGATCGAATATTCGGGATGGTATGTCATGGAAGGACAATATTGGTTCCTCCACGGATCTTTCACAATACTTATGGATAATGCGGTGATCAGATTAGGTATGTTGGTCCGATTAGTGGGCAAACCAGGATACCATATCCTGACCTCGTTAGGGGGGAAATCGGGTCCAGTAAAATGTCCAGATCACATAGACCATCAATGATGCCTTGACGAATCATGCTAAGCACTTTTTTTACACATGGGACCTGATCGTGATCGCCGTTGTTTTCTCTCTTGAGCCAATGTGGCCAAGGCAGGATCGGATCGACGGTGTTGGGCCAATATCGGCAGAAAATGTGTCGCCTCCCAGACTGCCTGGCAATGACGAACTTTGAAATCGTTATACAAGCGTACCAATTCTTGGAACCATCCAGTACACTCGAAAGAGATCGGATCGACCAGTTGTTCATACAGCAGCCAGGGCTGGCGAGCGTATAATTGGCTGATCTGAGAAGAGGTGATCAACCCGGATGACCACTCGGAATCACTAGGTTTCTGGAGTTTTCCAGATGGAGCAGGGAATATGTAACCCCTAGGTTTCGAATAATGGTGGAAGAGTGTATCCAGATCCAATTCTTGAAATGCACAACAAGCTGATTCTGCGAGCGGACCAAGGAAGCGTATCGGATGACGATCGAGGGACTCGATCACGATAACCTGGAATCCAAAGATCGCGAGAGATTGTGGTATCGGGGAGATCCAAGAATTCCTCCGCTGTCATCAATTAATTGCAAGGGAATTCGAGGTTCGCTGTCGATACTGAGGCTATCCTCAGATTCACTGGAGGGTTCGCCAAATAAATCGGTCATCGACACTCGTGTCGGAGTTTTATGAGGGGACGTAACTGGACTAGGTGAGTCCACCACGATCGGTGAAGAAGGTGGAAATACCGGAGACCGAGCCACAGTGCGTCGTCGAGAAGCCGATCGAGAAGAGGATAACGCAGCCAGCAGAGAGTCGTCCGTCTGATCTGAACCATACCCAAAAGGATCTTCTTCACTCGAATCTTTAGAAGATGAAGGAGAGGTTCGGGGAGGATCTGGGGTTGGTGACCCAGAAAAATCGGGGGAATTTGATCTTGATCTGGGCGAATGCGATCTCGATCTCGAATTGTCTGGACCTGATTGTGTTGAAGCTATGGAATTTTCAAGACTTGATCGGGCCGAGGTTGGGGAATGGTTGGGACTTGAATCATGGAGACTTGGGGACGTAGATGTTCTTCGAATACGCTTGAGCACAGGCTGATCCGAGTCAGAAAGTTTTCGCTGGCGCTTGTTCCGCTGTGGAGGTACTTCACTAGAAGCAGCGGCTGGTGACGACGTTGAGGGAGGCGACCCGGTTTGGTGTAATATACCAGACAAACGAGCGAAGAGAGAATTCCGATCCTTAACTTCCTGCGCAAGTTGATCGCGCTCAATCCGGATCGCGTCAAGCTGAAGTCGGGTATCATGGAGTTGCTGTTTGGATTGGATGTAGCGAGACTTAAATTGGCTCTCGGAATTTTTGGCTTGAGCAGCCTGTTCATTGGCCGACTTGGCGGAATCAAGCGCAGCTGCCAGCTTGTTCTGAACGGCAGCCAGCTGGAATTGAAAACGCTCTTCGGCCTTGTGGCGAGCTGCGGTGGCGTCGAGTAGAGAGGAACGCAGATCCGCGATCTCCATCTCCAGCTGGCCGATCTGTTCCAATTCTTGGCGATACTCCTCTGCCGATCGAGTCGCAATTTGCAATTCGCAGCACAAGGAATTATACTTGTATGACACGAATTTCGCGAAACTTCCAGCCAATTCACGATCAGCTTGAATCTCGCGTTCCAAACGAGCGCAGCGAGTTTCTTGGGAGTGCAATGCATCGTAAAGTGCTTCGTAATTGTCCAATACGTCCTGCTGGGTGTCCAAGCAGTCGTAGAGTTGGTCAATTTGGGCCTTCAGAGCAGCCCGATCCATGGTCGGAATGGCCCTCGCCCGACCACCAGGAAAACTTGCAAGCGATCGTGGAGTGGGCGCGATCGACGGTTGGTGGGAATTCGTGATCCGGTTAGATGGAGCAGAAGCTTGACGTTGGAATGTCGACATGTTGAGAACGGGAATTTGAGCGAAGGAATAGAATATGCACGGATACACCAGCACTGTATGCCGGTGATCAGCGCAGGGGACGGCTGTGGTGAAGTCGATCAAGAAAAATTTGATCAACGATATCGAAAGTGATCATAATGTGGACCACTTACACGGCCGGAAGTCATATCCTATGGATTATACTTGGCTATTGTATGGGAGCGATCAAGATCTATCGATGAATGATCGCATAGTTTATACTTGGCTATTGTATTGGAATGACAGCTTATCTGGATCGATCATGTGATGGCCACGGTTGGCCGAGGATTACGCGGCTGTGATGACGATCAGGGTGGGAGATCGCTCGATCGCAATCGTCGATCGTGATCAGCAAGTGTGATCATCGATCGTGATCAACAAGTGTGATCGACGATCGTGATCAACAAGTGTGATCGCCGATCGTGATCAACAAAGCGTGATCGACGACTGTGATCACCAACGTGTGATCGACGATCGTGATCAACAAGTGTGATCATCGATCGTGATCAACAACCGTGATCGTCGATCGTGATCAACAAGTGTGATCATCGATCGTGATCAACAACTGTGATTGTCGATCGTGATCAACAACTGTGATCGTCGATCGTGATCAACAAGTGTGATCATCGATCGTGATCAACAACCGTGATCGTCGATCGTGATCAACAACTGTGATCATCGATCGTGATCAACAACCGTGATCGTCGATCGTGATCAACAACTGTGATCATCGATCGTGATCAACAACCGTGATCGTCGATCGTGATCAACAAATGTGATCATCGATCGTGATCAACAACCGTGATCGTCGATCGTGATCAACAAGTGTGATCACGATCGTCGATCACGTTCGGCGACCACAATTGTTGATCACGATCGTCGATCACAGTTGGTGATCGTCGATCACGCTTGTTGATCATGATCGATGATCACGCTTGTTGATCACGATCGATGATCACACTTGTCGATTACAATCGGTGATCACATGTCCATCACGACCATGTGAATCGCATAGTAAGATTGCGATCGAGCGATCTTCCACCCTGATCGTCATCACAGCCGCGTAATCCTCGGCCAACCGTGGCCATCACATGATCGATCCAGATAAACTGTCATTCCAATAGAATAGCCAAGTATAAACTATGCGATCATTCATCGATAAATCTTGATCGCTCCAATACAATAGCCAAGTATAATCCATAGAATATGATTCCCGCCATGTAAGTGGTCCACATTATGATCACTTTCGATATCGTTGATCAAACTTTTCTTGATCGACTTCACCACAATCGCATCCTGTGGTGGCTACCAAAATTGTGCTTTCATCGCCTTCCGTCCGACGTAAATTATTGCAGTAAACGCAACAAGTACGTCTCGGGGTACGGCCACCACTGCATCTACCTCAACAGGTACATTAGCACGCACAACCATTCAATCTTTGTCAGTCTGCTGCCGTGGTAGATCCTACTTTAGCTCACCCAGCAGATCATCTCAGGTTTACGCCATCTCGCGCCTGCTTGCCGTGAGACAAGACAGCGACCTATATGATCGAGCTGCATTTTGCTGTGTGTGCAATGCACATCTAGGAAAGTCGGAAATATATGCATCATTCGTCTCGTAGCATAGTCTCTTGCCATCTTTAGCCGTGACCTTAAGCATATAAAATTCTTAGAAGTCTGATTGGCAACATGCATCATCGTGTGAAGTCGTACGCACATCCAAGATTTTTCGAATTATTGTATTACGCTCATGCTTTTCGTATCGTCGTCGAATTGTCCTAGAATCAGATGGGCGTGCCAGGCTCAGGTTGCTCAGTTGTAATATTGCTATTTTTCAAAGTCAAAAATAATAATTTGCGAATCAAAACTGTAGGTGCTTTTCCTCCTATTAGCAGTATGAGTATATGAAGGTTTGTAGAGAATAGAAAATTTATGTACATGTTCGTGTGCTACACCATAAATTGTGCCCTTTATCTGATTGGTTGTAAATCTTCCTTCCATCTAGCTTTGTAGCTGCTCAGCGGACATGGCGGAGAATCCGCTCCTAATGGTTCTAAGAGCCATTCAGACACTCTATGGCATGGTACGTTACCTTGCAATGCTAACTGTGTAAATTGCACGTCATAACGCCTTCTATAACCTTCATAATTCTTGTATCAAATTTGACACTCTTATCTTGTTATCAATCCAGGAAGGAACGACGCGACAGCGAGAAGCCAATGAGTTTCTAAACAATTTTGCTGCTTCAGACACAGCGTGGAGTGTAGGGTTGCAGCTGTTACAGGACGAGACGTTGGCGTTACCTCCAGAAGCTCTTTTCTTTGCTGCCAACATGTTGCACAATAAGGCACGTAAAGAGTGGGTCCGGCTATCTGGAGAGCAAAAGGCAGGCCTAAAATCGTCGTTTCAGACGGTGATACAAGTACTTCAAAGTGGCTCCAGATTGGATTATCACCAGGGACCACTTGCCAGCAAACTTTGTGCTATTTATGCAGTAGCTATGATCTCGTCCCCAGATGAGTGCAAGTCGCTGTTATTGCAATTGCTGACAAGTTGCTCAGCAAGAGGTGATGCAGGAGAAATTGCTTTTTTGCTGGCCTTCTCACGCTGTGTCTGTGAGGAAATGGAGGAAGCTGAGCTAGCATTTGTAGCCAAGGACGCGATGGAAATGCACCTCTCTGTTCTAAGCGGAGATTTGGTCGCTCTTATCGGCAAGATTGTTGTCATATGTGAAGACCAGGATACTCGTGTAGCTTCTCTTCATGGTGAGGCTTTTGCGTGCTTAAATGTGTGGGTCAGACGGGCAGGGCTTTCGCTGGCGTCGCTGTACTCTTCGGACAAGGCCGTATTGCTGGCTCTATTGGACGCACTGCAGACCAAATCACGACATTTGCAGGCATGTGCTGACATACTTACGAAACTTATCATGGTGGCATCATATCCGACTCCAGCTCAGTTGGAAATGACACTGCTGGTTGTGGCAGAAGGGCTTCTCAAAACGCGTGCTGCATGCGAAAGCGCTATTGGCGCTGAAGAAGAGGGTATTTGTCATGCTCTTACAGATGTTATCTCAACGTTTTGTGAAACGTATGCGGACTGGATTGTAGAAGGAGAACATCCCGAGAAAGCGACAGCTTTGGGTGAACTTATGCTGTATCTTGGTTCACAACCGCGTCGTCAAATCGCGTCACTTACTCTTGAGTTTTGGATGGTCGTTCAGGACGAGCCTGTCGCCTCACGATCACAGTTTTACAAGCACGATGCCTTCATGCATCTTTTTGATGTCATGCTTAAACAGTGCTCCTTTCCGTCAGGAAACATCGAGGAAATGGACGAACTTGAGCACAACGACCTCAATGCTTTCCGAAGTGGCTTTCAGGGTGTCTCCAATGCTTTTATAGCAATTTTTTCGCTGCTTAAGGTAGAATACCTTGCTCGTCTACTTCCTGTCCTCTCATCAGCGTCGAGCGGGTGGCAAAGTGTTGAAGTTGCTCTATTTGCTGTCTCGACGGTGTCGGATGAAATCAAGAAGATGTTGCCTAGTACCTCTGCTAGCGCTCTGCACCAGGCTGAATTAGAAAGCATGATTTCGCAAATGTTGCAAGCAATATTGGTCTCGACAGCAAGTGCGCATCCTTTAGTAATCAAAACGGCTTCTCGTCTGCTGGGTCAGTTTGCTGGTTGGATCAACGATAGGGCCGTAGCTGCTCGCGCATTTGACACGATTGAAGCTGTTCTCCAGTATCTGACAGGTGCGCTTGGGCTTGACTCAAGTTGTACAAATGCTGCTAAAAGTTTTATGCAAGTAGCAACGAATTGCACGAGCTGTCTTATTGAAATGCAACCGAGCTTTCTCGTGGCTAGCGTGCAACATTTTGGTGGTGCTTCTGGTCAAAACGTCATGCCGATAGAGGGTCGATTATTGGTTGTTGAGGGGATCATACGTGTTGCTGCAGTCTCTACGAACTGCTCCGTGATTTTGCAGACCGTACTAAACGATTCACTATCTCGTCTAGACCAAGTGCTAGTAGCGACGGGATCTGATCACGTGGTTTTGTCTACCCTAGTATGCAACGAACTTCACGTGCTTGGTAAGGTGATACGGTTTTTAGATGCTCCAGACGATGCAGCTGGAGGAAAGGCTGTCACGGCATGGGCTGTTCAGCAGATTTGGTCTCATTTGGATCCGATTGCACCACGGTTTGAGATGGATGAAGCAGTAATGACTGCTCTGTTCGAGCTGTATGGGTGGTGTCTGCGCAGCGTGCGAGACAACATGGCGCCACAACTTGGAGGGATAGCTACTTTAATCGTGAGAGTATTCGAAGAGCGGCACTTTGTGGCTCCGCTCGAGTGTGCATCTGTTGCTGTTGATGTCTTTGGAAAGAATGCAAATGCCGAGATTGTTGATAGTTTCCGAGGACTTATGGGAGCATTGAGTCGGTCAGCCTTTCGATTCTTCACAACCCATTCGTTGGCCGAGTCGCCAGAGGTGTTGCGATCGTTTTTTGAGCTGGCGTACCGCTTCTTGCTGTTCTGCCCAGCAGCCGTGCTCACTGCAGCCGAGTTTCCCGTGCTTATCGAGCTTAGTCTGGCCTGTCTGAGCAACCAGGAGCGTGTATCAACGAATGCGGTCCTCATGTTTCTTACATTTCTGCTGAGCGAGAGCACCAACAAACTGGCGCCGTTTACAGCAGTGATTAACGCCATTGTACTGGATGTTGGCCAAACGGAAAAGTGGCTTGACAGCCTCATTGGTGCTCTAGCCTCAAAGAGTCCTAGTGCTCTCTATGAGTCGCTATCCAAGCTATTGTACGCGCTACTAACAGGCTTCACTAGCAACGAGCGCGTGCGGGCGACGCTAATGCAGTCTTTGACCCGTGATGCGCTGGGTGTAGCAGTGCTTCAACCTACAGACCGACAACAGGTGCTGCTCTCATGGCTGTCCCTGGCTGCTGAGCCTTCACGCTACTCCGAGCGGCGCTTTCGTGGTTTGTGCTCTGACTTCGCCAAGGTTTGCCGCAAACAATTGACGGCCGATACACTTCACTCTTTTGAGCTGCCCAACTAGAATAGATCAAATCATCACAATTAGCGAGCTTCAAGAAATCCATGCACAATGTCACATGTATTGGCTTCTGGTCATGTCAGCATTGTAAGACGAATACTCCTGAGCCAGGCGTGATGCAACTTCTTGCAAAAAAGCACATCAACGACAGCAGTACGTTTCAATCAGATCAGCTCTCCAATCTAGATCAATAGCACCAAAACACGTTAACCAGACGTCTACCCCAGTCATTCAATATTAATGCACATAGCAACGTACGATCGGGTACTTTCCGTAGTAAAACTCTTTCGTCTCGACCAGTTCCTTCATCTGTTCCTCATTAAAACCCGAGATATCATCATTGATCTCCTATTATGTGAAGAGCAAATAAAAAAGAATGACCAATACCATGTCAACCTTCTAATAAAATCTCCTCGTCAAAAAAATCAGCATCTCCGTACCTCCTTGTCGAGCGAGCCCAGTGCTAGAGCACGCGTACAGGCCTAGACATAAAAAAACACACAATGTTACATTTTATGCAATAAAATCCCCCCTCAATTAAGCCTTATTTTAGACTGTACCGTTCCAGCAAATAGGTTGTAGGACTTTCCCTTGCCATAAAAATTGGCACCTGTCGTCACGTCCAGCACCTTTTATGCAACAACCAAAAACAGATCGTCAATGCGGAACCGTTCTTTTTATGAACGCGACACTTTCAAACCTCATACTTTGCCACCAACTGCAAGGAGGATGGGCTTTTCTTCGTCCGACCCGTCAAATCTGATATAACCACAACCCTACGTTAGTACCATCGAGCAGGTATACATGTTCCATGTATACTATACGCACAGACGTAGCTCGTCCAGCGTAAACTTGGGCAGCTCTTCGGCCTCTGCCACCGCTTCGTTCTCGGCACCTTTACCGCTCAACAGCATGGAAAAGGGGTAAGGGCAGCTATACCCATTGTTGATAAGGTGATGCTCGATTTGCGGCCAAGCTAACGCTATGATTGCCACGATCAGCGCCACACCAAACAGGAAGAAGCGTCCAAGACCTGCCATGTATGTTTAATTCTGCCGTTTGTCATGTAGTCTGAAGGTGTTCCGATGGGACGACCAAATGTATAAAACCTCATTTTCGTGTGGTTTCCACTGTCTTGAAATGATGTGACCATTCACTGATTTATTAACATGAAACTTTAATTTTCAAATATTGCAATTGACAAACAAATGAGTGTGAACGTCACCAAGATCCTGAACAGCCCCGAGGTGATATATAGAGCAAGTTACAATCAGCGTGACTTGATACTTTATGCTGTGGGTATTGGCGAATCAGCACTTCAATTTACGTACGAGTATGATGACACTTTCGCTGCTTTTCCTCTCTACTTCGTGTGTTTGCCATTCAAAGGCCAGTCGCAAGATATCGTGCCTTTTCCACCCGAGACATTCCTTGCAATGCCTGATGGACTGCCGAGCTTTAATCCAGCTATGATTCTACATGGTGAACAGTCTGTAGAAATTCTACGGCCATTAGATCCCATGGGTGGCACTTTGACAAGCAAGACAAAAGTCATTTCTTTCTATGATAAAGGCAAAGGCACACTCATGGAGACGCAGACAGAGTTTGAAGATGAAAATGGACCAGTTGCGAAGCTTGTTAGTGGGTCTTTTATTCGTGGCCTTACGGGCTACGAGGGGAGCAATGGGCGCAAACTCCCAGCTCGTGTGCAAATCCCTAAGCGTCAGCCGGACTTTGACGACGAATTCAAGACGTCGGTCTATCAAGCACAAATTTACCGTCTTTCAGGGTACGTCAATACTGCTGGTTTGTTGATGAGGTACACATGGTGACTAATAGGAGGTTTTATTGATCTTGTGCTGCAGTGACTACAACCCATTGCATATTGATCCGGAGATTGCGACGAGTGTAGGCTTTCAACAGCCCATTCTGCATGGTTTGTGCTCCATGGGCGTGGCTAGTCGCGCGTTGTACAAACAGTTTTGTGGCGGCGATGCAAGACGCTTTAAATTCATTCGTGTTCGCTTCTCAAGTCCGTGTTATCCAGGAGAGACAATCCAGACTAGAATGTGGCAGGAAGGAAGTGGACAAGTGCTATTCCAGGCCGTGGTCAAAGAGCGCGGAGTCGTGATTATCGACGGTGGCGAATTCCTTTTCGACCAAAACACGTCGTCACGATTGTAAGTCGTGATTTCTACAGCTTTTTGAATGTTCCGGTGGGCGTAACATGATACCTCAAAAGGTTCTTGCAAGCTTCAGAAATAGTATGTAAAATGAGCTCCTCACCTGCTTTTACGTCGCTGTCTCGATGGAACAAGTCGGTGTCAGCACACATGAAGATGGCATCGCGGCAATCACGGCTGGATTGAAATTTGTTCATGTTGGCATATGCCCTCAACATAAAGTAAAACTTCTGCCTGGACTTGACGTCGACGATATCGTCGTTTTTTGTAGCCATTAAACGCCACGGACTTGATAACGGTCGCACTGATATTGTACATTTGCAACTGTCCAGTGTCTTAAGCGTCTTAAGATCCACAACTGAAGATTACACAACACGTCATGAGTGTGCATGACGTTGCAAAAGAATATGGCTACACTTTTGCCTGGCTATCAATCGACCGTTTTTTATATTTTGTTTGGAGGAAAATGGTGCTATTCCAGACGCTTCGGAAGACGGCAAACCACGGGCTGCGCATGGCTTCTCGCAGCTCAATATTGTACTGTACGTGTTGCTAATACATCCGACGTAGATCCACCTTCTTTTCGCGTCTCATTTCGTGCTCTGTCGACTGCATTCAGCCACGGAACGTGTGTTCCCCAACTTTTCGGTGTATGGCAGCGACTCGGTCTTCCAAGTGTCTCCCAATGCTCCACAATACACGGATAGCGGTAGTTATTTGAAGACAAAGCGTATGGTGAGCAGCTGAGATAGTCTCTAGCATCTCAAGACTGTGAGGTTTGGTGAAAAGAGAGAAGATGATGCTAAATGATCTCTTGATCGCGTCAATAGGGTGCCATCATGCTGTCGTGGGCCAAGGCCACAAACTCAGGCTACAACTATCAGAACAAGACTGTGAGCTGATGGTGAAGCTCTTGGATCAGTGTAGAGCTGTTGTAGCTGACTATGATGTTGTTGCTGCAGTTCTTCTCGCTGAGTCCGTCGGAGGTGGGACTAGTGCTAGAGCTGCTGGACTCGCGTATCCCGGAGCTGTCATTCACGCATTCGCCCAACATGAATGCACCTGAAGAGGACAAGAACACCAAGTCACTGCAAATTGCACGCACGATGGGCTCTGATGGAAACCCTTCGATCTTGATCAAGGTCACCCATGAAAGTGAATCTGTTGCTACGCTCAACGTGGGTGAGGCTCGTGTTCTCCGGGTAAGAGAGCTATAGCCCGTGGTCTTGGTGACGGATGATGGTTCAACGTCCTAACTGTGTTGCCTCTGTAGGAGCTACTGACGTACTCTCTTCCTCGCTTGTTCGGCTTCCACTCGGTGCTAGAAGGACCTCTGTAAGTCTTTGCGCTCAGTGTATCCCACAATGGAGTGTAATACTAACATGCTTCTATTGTAACTCAAAAGCAATGTCGATGGTGGAAGTAGTGGCGGATTCTCGCAGGAAAGTGGCAACAACTCATACTCATCAGGCTCCACTGGTGGATATCGCGGCAACACCAAGCCTGCTGGAGACTGGCCCTTCTAATACTGCTAGTCGGCAGAAGATTGACGGACGATGCTCGAAGATTGTTGATTCATATGGTTCCTTCTTGAGGACCAAACGATGTATGTCGCTTCGAGCTTTTTGCAAATGTATTGATCCGGCAAGTAACAAGCAGGTTTGCAGTATAAATTGAAGCTGTTGAAGCGCGTGAGGTTCTTGATCGCTTCTTCTGACGTATATAGCTAAACACGACGACAGCTAGCATTACTTTGGTAGCAGACGAACAAGATTAACCGAACCAAGTCCAACCCAAAGAGCTTCTTCTCATGGTCAAGCCACGTTGTCGGCTGAGAGGACAAAGTGTTGGTTTTCTTTTATTTAGCTCGACGTTCCTAGCTCGGATAATGTATCTCGTGTATGACCAGCGGAAGCCAAAGGCGTGTCAGAACTCATGGTCAAATAGTCAATTGAAAGAGTCACAGCAATCGAACGAGCTCCTAGCCTTCTCAAGAACGCGAGTCAACAACGAGAAGAGCTAGCGCTACAACGCGACATTTTCACTCTTATCCCCACTTGCATGCTCTCGCTATTTATTCAGTTGGCTGGTAGATAAGTTGCTATCGTGCGACTCGAGCTGCGCTGTGACTCTACATCTAGAATGAAAGTTGTGCACCGTAGCCAAACTTGAAGTCGTCCTTGAGCGGAAAGCCTTCGGCCGACAGCGAGAGCACGAAGTTCGGCAGCACACGCGACTCAATGCTAGTCGCTACTCGAAAGGTCGAGTCCACGCTGGACACGAACCGTGTCTGACCTAGGTCCATCTCCACTCCGCAGGTTGTCTGCGCCTCACCTGACGAGTGATTGTACACAAGCTCCGACCCGTACCGAATCCGGTGACTCACCTTGCGAAGGTATGCTAGCTGCAAGGTGCCCATAGCACCAAACGTAGCCATTCCAACCCAGTCACGGTCGCTCCACTTGCCAGCATAGGCCGAAATGACTTTCCGATGCTTGCCGTGGTAATAGGCCTCACCACCTAGGGCAATCTTCTGGGTGACACTCTGCAGGTAGCTAACGCCAAATAACGGGCCATTAGAGACCTTCATGTTCCACGTAAAGTCGTCTCCAACATAGTCAAAGTCAGCGAGTGCCTGGGACCCATCTTCTTCATTTTTAAGTTGCGACTTTACACGCATTTTCCACTTGTCCGAAAGCTTTTGATTCCATCGGGCGTCAAGGTAGCCGTCCGGTGTTATTTTACTCATAAGGAACGTAGATGGATCCATGGGATCTCCCATCACAACATTGGCACCAAATTGATAGAGACCACCAGGAATCATAGGCGTACCAAGAAGGAAGGAATGGGACGTCGAGCAACGAGCGCCAAGAATACGAGTAAAATCAAAGCGAAACCCATCAAAGGCATCGGGACTTACGGGTGGTTTCAATTCATTCGGAGCATTCTCATAAAGCCCTGGATTTGGTAATTTGATCCGTTCCTTTTCAATGTCTTCAACCTGTTGCATAAACACAGGAAGATCTTCTTCCTACCAGTAAAAAAGGAATAAAATGTAGCCATGTCGTCATGACGGAAGGATAGAATGTAGCCATGTATTAGAATATCGTTTTTGAAATGATCAATAAAACACACAAAAGAGCTGCAATTGTTTACGTACCGACGACACGCTTGTAGCCAAGACAGGATAGTCTTTATTAGTACAATCCTTTGCTTTACTTGGTGCACTCCCCATGATTAATAGACACAAAATAAAGGAAGGGGAGGGACAGACGACCGTGTCTTGCTTGGTAGCGTTTTTGACTGGAGATTGAACGGCTCAAAAAGACGAGACATTATATCCAATCAAAATTGATTATTTTTCGTACATATGAAGAATAAGTTGACACATGACAGTTACACTAAGTACGTCAGCATGTATCATTCCAATGTATCTGCTCGTGTACTTGACAAGTGTCTGGGTCCAGCCTTTAAACGAGACGCTACTGCCAAAATTACGCACTGTTGTGGATGAAATCAATGCAGAATTCCATCACGAGAAAAAGCTGATTGAATTGATACAAATTCATCGAAGTAGCGACGGAGACAGGACCAGCGACGTCAAAATACAGCGACTTGAACCATTGTATGTGGCTGGAATTGGATTAAAGTAGCTCTGAAGGTCTTCTTAATCGCTAAGAGTGATATTATCAATCTCTTTTGCTTGTGTTGTTGGTCTTAGAATGTTCCGGTTGCTGTGTAAACAATTTCAAGTGATGGATGTGCCGGCGTGTGTTTTGTTGGACGCTAAAGGACAAGCACTGATGAAAGAATCGCTGCAATGTCTGGAGGTGACAATGAGTTTTTGTAGCTGACACAAAAAGATTGGTTAATATTGTTTTGTTGACGTGTAGGATCAACGTGAGGATGATACAGCATTGACGTCTTTAGCTGACTTGAAATTGTCGTGTTAGTGGCAGTTTTGAGGTTAACTTTTAGAGGGAGAGTGTTATTGTTGCGTTATTGACTTGTACAAGTGCTACTGGGTCTTGATTTTTAGGGAAAGTGTTTGAAGAGATCTTGAAGGAAAAGAGTGTCTCGACTGGTGCTTGGAACACTCTGTATCCGTTGTGGCAAGCTAATGTGACTGCAGTACGATCCACCATTTCAAAAGTGCTCGAGGTTAATGATATCGCTCTTGTCAAAATGCGACAAGAAGCTTTGGAGCTGTTTGAAACGGGAGACTTCCTATCAGCAGCGTCAAGATTCGTGAACGTTTTAATGCGCTGTCCAACATGCACAAAGTCCAGCTTTAACCTCGCCGTGATTCTTCATACGATTGGTACGTGGAAGGGATCTAAGGATATCTAGCCTTATTTGTGCGGGCGGACCCGTAGCTGATGGCGGTCTATATGCTACGCTCTAGGTGAAACATATTTTGCTGTGGCTCACATGTTGCGCGTCGTGGCCATCGACGACAGTGACTCCGTAGCGCACACAGTTCTTCGGTATGTGGCGTGTTCATGTCAGTTTTTCATGCGTAACCAAGTCACTAAGTTCTTCGTCTTGCAATGATCCTAACAGATCCGTTTACTATCCGAAAGAACCCGACCTCGTAGTTGCTGGCTATCAATTAATCATCTCAGCGAATCGCGATAGCCATGTCCGAGCAGCCCATTCGCTTGCAACACTGGAGGGAGCCACGACTAGTAGGACTGCTGCCCCTGCCTATGTTGCAGAGGTCTTCGATGAGCTTGCAGATTGTTTTGAGGAGAAACTTGTGGCACATCTGGAATACCGTGTACCTTGGCAACTTGTCGAGGCTTTGCAGATCCTATCGCCACCCGGATTTATCTCCCAAGACTCGACTACCGATCCCACATGGGTTGTGGCGGATGTCGGTTGTGGCACCGGCCTTTGTGGTCGCCTCCTTCGTCCACATGTGAAACATATCATTGGGGTGAGTAGCTTGTTGTTTCGATTGTCTAACTTCTTGTCAAGCGATTGAGTTCACCTTTCAGTTGGTCTGTTTGTGAAGGTGGACATTTCGCCGTTGATGATCGAGAAGACACGTGCAAAGGGCAGTTACGACGAGCTTCATAGTACGTATTGAAATGATAGTTTATTCATCCTTAGCCTGTGTGCTCGTTGGTAAGACGACGTTGTATTGATTTTGTTGCAGCCATTGATATCGTACCATTCCTGGAGTCTTGCGCTAATGAATCGCTGGATCTAGTCATCTCCGCGGACGTATGGATTTACGTGGGGGCGTTGGAGCAAGTATTTGAGCTGAGCAAACGCAAGCTTCGTGTCTCCACGGGCTGGATGGTCTTTTCGATCGAATTATTAACTCCCAGAGCCACCAAGAGCTCGACTGGATTTCGGTTGGCTCCATCTGGCCGGTTCCAACACTCGCACGATTACATTGCGTCTCTCGCAACTCGGTCTGGTTTCACCATTGTTCTACAGGAAGATATTAATGTGCGCAAGGAGAGTGCTGAGCCCATTCCAGGTCGTATCTATATCCTTCAACGAGCTGTGGCGCCACAGACTGAGCGACCGAGTTAATAGTTCAAGACGATAATCCATCATTGATTACCTTTACAATGTGAAGTGGTTGTAGTTGCAGATGCACTGAGCACGACACTATTAGCCTCTTCGGGTTGTACACCCATCAGTTTTAGCAACGTCTCGCCATAGTTCCATGAGAGTACAATCTGCTGAATTCGGTCGCCCTTGAATATGAATAAAGACTTGCCACTGATACAGACCTTCTTGTGGCGAGGTTCGATGCCAAAAATCGGGAAGACCTGCGTACCACTAAAAGTCCACGTGGCTTTCATCTGCTCCATGCTGTCTTCATCACGCTGAATGATGTAATCCTCCATCATTCCGTCAGGGAACGCGTCCAGCAACAGCCCCCAATGTGACAAGACAGCTTCCACGCCATGCAGACTTTCCGAGTAATCAGGACTGATTAAAGTAACGTCGTCGTCGTACACAGTGTCCGCAATCTCTTCCAAATCTTCTATACCTCCAGTGTTCCAAGCTTCCAAAATACCATGGAGAATGTCATATCTTCGTCGATAGATTTTTTCCATCTGTTCATTGGCTTTCATCTCGTTCTTCACGGAAACAAGCTTCTCCTGTCTCTTGATCTTCTTTCCCATCACATTGTATGCTTCATCTCGAACTCTATCAATCTCCGCCGTCTTCCGTTTACGATGACAACGGACAGTCAATCCCATTGTCGTCGTTGGCAGCATCGGGACCTTCTCCTGTAGCTCCATCTGTGGCTCTACTTCATCATCCAAAAGACTCGACACTTCTCCACTCGATTGTACGTCAAATCCTGCTGCACGCAGCATTTTCAAGTCTTGTTCTTTCTCGTAAAGAAATTCTTGAGTAGCAGCAAAAAGGGGTGAACTTGACGTGATATTCACGTCTCCAAATGGCTCCAGAAAGTCGTCAGCTGTAGCAAGCAAGAACTGATCCAGATCTACTCCATCCATGCTTGTATCAATGCCCAAGAGACCTGAAACAGTGCTAATATCATCAAGCATCTCTTCCCATTCATGCCATTCACAGCTTGGACTGCGACGCATGGAAGAAGTCAGGAAAGAACTACTTGATGCTGCAGTGTCAGAGGCTGTAGACGAGGCAGGTGTTGAGGTCGAAGTCCTTTTAAAGGAATACACCGGTGACGAAGCATGCATAATTTCTAAATGTACGTGACGTTTCCAAGGCAAATTTAGAAATGAGCTTGTAAGGAGTGACGGACAAGTGACTGACTTCAACATTTTACACTGACAACGGCGTGTCATGATAATCCCGTCGTGTCATTTTTATGCACGTTTTCTCATTGACAGATGGTCGAAAGCATATGTATCGGATGGTCAGGGGCCTTGCGGCTGGCAATGACGTTTAAAGCAACGTCCGTGATAGAAACACATTGTTGCCCGTACGACAAGGTTAGGGGTGGGCTCATGACTTGACGGACGGGCGTCATGATGGCTACAGACCATATCGTGATAAGCAGCTAGACATGTGGTATACGGTATACTTGTGCGCAATGTTTATGTCGCAAAAAAGACATGTTTTTTTCCGTACTTTGTCGGTGCCCTACACACTGTCATGCTGAGTTTACGAAACAATTTGTAGTATACACCGTGCCTACACGGTGTGGTATACACCGGTCTGTGTATTCATTTTGTGTCATATAGTCAGACAGTCATCTGATTCCATCAAACCTTCAACACTTTATATATCTATCAAACCACAGCCCATTCCATTCCCTCGTAAAAATATACAAAAAGCTCTAAAAAAGAATCGATGGTTCACGTCCATCGTTACTGTCTCGTGTTGTTCTTCGCCGTAACAATTGTCGTCTCTACCGCAACACGACAGACAAAGAAACAGGAGACTTGGGAGGTGGAATCAGATGGTTCCGTCTCTAAAAAACCGTCACTTTCGTCCACCGACGACTTTTTAACGGACGAAAAACAATACGACCACCGAAAAAGTATCCATTATGAAGACGACTGGGAAGTAGCACACAACGTCTCGTCACTCTCCTTCTTAACAGCATCTGAAGCTTTTCTGACGCTAGAAACTCGCCTTGTACACGAGGGATATACTGCTGATATCGTGGCAGAACTGTCGACAATGGTAAAGTCTTATCTAGACACGGAGAATCCCGTGACAACGGATGATTGGGCCTTTGCAGTGACAAAGTTGTCGTACAAGCAGCTTTTTGAACCAAATGTCAAGTCGTCAAAGGAACAGCCTTTTATTGATGCTGTGAATAATCTGCATGTTGCAGCAACGACAGGTGTTCAATCAGCACTTGGTGTTTTGGCTGTATTTGATCTCATTGGTATTCCTGAACCTGAAGAGATGGAGGACAGGAATCGACTTCGATTGTCGAGGCAAGAGAAACACGCTCGTGCGGACAAGAAACTGGTGGAATTGTCGGAGGTTCACGACTTTATGGCTACTTTAGCTGTCGCGTACGGAACTCTATCGGGGAGAATCCCAGTGGTAATGAAAAACGTTGAGACGGGGGCACGTACTGACCCGGACGCGGTTTGTGAAGCGGCGTTGTCCCTCTTTTACAAATGTGCAGAAGAAAATTTACGTGTCATTGGTGATGAAGGTGGCGAGCGACCTGTGGAAGTTGTACGTCTTTCGGATGAACTATTATACCCTACAGGAGGTGATAGTTTTCACGAATACGGTGATGGAGGAGTCGATTGGCTTCACGACGAGAACAATGCACTTCAGGAGCTCGAGAATTACCTCACCATTGCCAATAATCCCCTGGACGAGCTGTATCCACAAGCAATGCATCGTCTTGGTGAAATTTATTTTTTTGGTAACCCTGCGGCTCACATAGCGGTAGATCGTGGACTTGCAGCGCAATACTTTCGCCAAGCAGCGGACGCCGGTGATGCTATGGGCCAGGCCAACTATGGCATGCTTCTCGCTAACGGTATCGGCGTGAACCGCGACGTAGCACAAGCTCTTGTGTATTTCAACCGCTCAGCTCAGCAAAACGAAGCGTTTGCGTTTCACGGTCTTGGTGAATTGTATTTTACTGGAAATGAAGTGCCTCAAAACGTGACAAGAGCACTCGAGTATTTTGAAAAGGCTATTGCATTTGGCTACACTGAATCGCATTCGTTTCTAGGGTCCGTGTATCTTCATGGTGATGAAGGTGTACCAGTTGATTACAAAGCAGCCTTCTCGCATTTTCAAGCGGCTATTGAAGGTGCAGGCGGCCAGTCGAGTCAGGCTTTATTCGATTGGGGTGTAGTGCACTATCAAGGCATTAACACACCACGGTCTTGTCAAACTGCCATGCCACTATTTCGATCGGTAGCTCTGCATCCCGATTTGCTTTCGGGGCTTCCGTTTTCGCTGGTTAAAGCGTATGAATGCTACAAGAAAGGCGATTATTTGCGTGCATACTTGCACTACCGACTAGTTGCAGAGCTAGGGGATGAAGACGCACAATGCAATGCTGCTTTTCTACTAGAGCATCATGGCGATAGCATCCTTAAGTGGCAGTGGCTGGGACTTGCAAAGTCAACTACGGACGCAAACAACTTGGCGTTGCGTGAAGCCTTCACGTTGTATTCGCGAGCGGCGGCTTTGAACGACTCTGAAGCTGTTCGAAAAACTGGTGCGTGCTACCATGAACCTTGGGTTGGTGTGTGCCCGAGCAATCACACACGTGCACTAGAGCGCTATGAATTCGCAGCTCAACTAGGTGACGTACACGCTGGTTTCAATTGCGGTTTGATGTATCTGACAGGTGACGGCGTTCCGCGAGATCTCGCCGCTGCTCGAAGATACTATGCAGAGTGCAGTAAAGCTGTGTTCCCTGCAAACGTGCCATGCGCACTTGCGCTTGTGGGGATAGATATCATGCAGGCTGTTGGAGCGGTTGTGCAGAAGATTTGGGTGGATGGTCTTTGACAGAACAAATGGTAAGTTATTGGCAAGCAGTAAACGCCAAGTGTAGGGCGGGCACTTCTGTCTATTCAACTCGTCTCCGTTCTTTATGCGGCAGGAATCGAGCATCAACGTAATAAACGAAGTTCTGGTTCTTTGATCTACACAGTATCGTAGCTCTTTCCTTCATTTTCCCACGAATGCTTCCGCTTCTTTTGCGTAAAGCCGGCGGTGATAGACGCAGAGCGCATTGACCCACGCAGCTTGCGCACTTGCCACAATTTGCGGACCTCGTCGAAGATGAGCACAGTCGATGCGATGCAACAGATGTAGACCAAATCACCAAATGTTAACGCCTCAGTCTGGAATGTTGCCTGAAGCGGCGGAAAGTAGATGACAAGGAGCTGGCCCAGCAGCGACGCACCTACTGCGTACGCAAAAAACGTGTTGGAGAGAATGCCAATCTCGAAGATGGACTTATCATCTGACCGGCACGAGAGTGCGTTGAACATGTCAAACATGACAAACGTGGTGAAGCTCATGGTACGGTCGCGCCTACTAACTGTGCCATCAGAGCTCAGCTCCACCCAGAATACGTAAAGGGTGCCACATACGATGAAGAAAGCTGATGTGAGCACACGATGAATCATGGTACGCGTGATAATATTGGCATCCTTTGAGCGCGGACCTTCCTTCATCACGTCATGGTCTACCGGCTCCACGCCAAGACTCTGGGCCGGTGGTCCGTCCATGATGATGTTAATCCAAAGAATCTGCATGGCATTCAGTGGAGACGGTAGATTGAACAACGTGGAGAACGCGATCAAGCATAGCGCTGAGATGCTCGTACTGAGCTGAAAACGCAGGAAGTGCTTGATATTGTGGTAAATTGACTTGCCCTCTTCCATGGCGCACAGGATTGTGCTAAAGTTGTCGTCCAGTAAAATCATGTCCGCAGCCTCTTTCGAAACATCCGTTCCGTTTGTGCCCATGGCAATGCCAATGTCTGCCGCTTTGAGTGCAGGTGCATCATTCACGCCGTCACCAGTCATTGCTACCATCAGACCTGCCTCTTGAAAAGCTCGTACGATCTTCAGCTTTTGGTGAGGAGATGTCCGGTAAAACACACATGTTTTTAGAATGCGCTGCTCCAGCTCCATCATATCCATAATCTCCAGCTCCTGACCCGACATTACCACCTCGTCCACGGCATTTCTTCCCTCCTCATCGCAGCCAGAGCTGCCAAATCTGTCGCTCGAAATGATATTCACCTTTGCAGCAATCGCAATAGCCGTCTCCTTTGAATCGCCCGTAAGCATGACGGTCTTGACTCCACTCAGCGACAGTTCGAGTACTGACTTCTCGATCTCAGCGCGAGGCGGATCTGAAATTCCCATTAGCCCGGCAAATACCATGTCATTTCCCGAGTGCTCACCAAAAGAGAAAGCCAGAACACGAAGACCACGAGCCGCCATCTGCTGGGATGCTACGAAGATGCGCTCGCGGTCACCCGGAGTCATCTCTTTCTCGCGACCACAGTTATCTTCAATTTTACTGCAGCGCGACAAAATAGCCTCCGTCATGCCCTTAAGGTGCCAACGAGACAATCCACCCGACAGTGGCTCGCAGCACACAGCCATCCACTTCTTTTCCGAGCTAAAAGGCACTTCGCTGACACGACGGAACTGCTGAATAACCGAAGGTGTAATTCCCACCTTCTGCGCGCAAAGCAGAACGGCGCCCTCGGTCGCTTGGCCAAGTACCTCACCGTCCACTATGTTCGCATTGTTGCAGAGTGCACCAGACAACAAGCAGTGGTAAATATGAGGTTGAGATGTCTCTGTAACAGGCTCACCACGCATGGTAACGGCTGAGCAAGTCTTCTTGTTGGCCATGTCCGATGCAAATGTCTGGGATGGTGACCACTCTCGCTCGCCAACGCCGTTTACATCAGCAGTCTCACTCTCGAAAGGAACAAAAATCTCGATCACCTCCATCTTGTTTGTCGTGATCGTGCCCGTCTTGTCCACACAAATCACATTGATGCAGCCAAGCGCCTCGACGGCAGGAAGTTTCTTCACAATGGCGTGGCGTTTTGCCATCTTCATGACTCCAAATGCCAAGGTGACTGTCACACAGATCGGTAGACCCTCAGGGATAGCAGCCACAGCTAACGAGACGCCAATCTGCAGCATGGTCACCACGTCCTTGCGTTGGATGACACCAACGACTACAATCGCTGCGATGACGGCAAGTGAGAACATACTGAGATGTTTACCCAGCGTGTCCATGCTGTTCTGCAGTGGCGTCCTGCGCTCTTCCACTTGGTGTACTACATCAAAGACCTGTCCAAACTCTGTGCGTGATCCAGTACCAACCACGACAGCTCGTCCACGACCAGCACGCACTAATGTGCCCATGTAAATCACATTCTTGCGTTCTGCAATCGAGTGTAAATGACTATCCGCAATTGCTTCAGTAATCTTAGCAACCGGTGCATTTTCACCCGTTAGACTCGACTCATCAACCTCAAGATCCACTGCTTCCACAAGCCTAGCGTCCGCTGGAACACGATCCCCCACATCCACTAGTACAATATCTCCAGGCACTAATTCCTTTGCCAAAATATCCACAAGTGTCCCATCTCGTAATGCTTTGCAATGTGGTGGCATGAGCTCCTTAAGTGCCTCCAGTGTCTTTTCAGAACGATATTCCTGTACAAAAGCCACCATAACGACAATTGTAATGGCTACAGCAATGGAAATAGCATCATCTGTATGTCCCATAGCCACACTCAAGATCCCCGACGACATGAGCAGAATAATAAGTGGATCTTTGAATTGACCGAGAAATTTGACAACAATTGACTCGGTAACGTCACCCGTGAGCTCATTAAATCCCCATTCGTGCTGTCGTTCACGTACTGAGAGCTTCGAGAGACCGTAATTAACATCGACATGAAGTTCTCGTGTCACTTCTTTGTGGGAACAAGTCGATGCTTGAGTGAGGACACTATTTTCATGCGTTACGAGCGATGACGTGACGTTGTCATTGATTGGAATCGTAATCATAGTGAAGAAATGAGTACCGTCTTTTAAGAGCTGATTTCTCGGGCTGTAGAGAAGGAAAAAAGACTGGAAAAAGATGAGGATGTGAAGGAGAAACGGCACTAAGTGTTACGTATGATCAAAGAGAAGAAGCACGTGAGGGTGACCACGTAGGAAGCAACACGACGTCGTTGTTTCTACGGTCGTTCGCTGCAGTAATGGAGTGCGTTTTTATCTGATGAGGGGATTATATCGTTTAAACGAATTGTTTAAATTTATAACTCTTCTAGATTTCAAAATGAGCATGTAGCCATGTTGTAAACACGTTTCAATTGTCATAAAAAAGAAAAAAAATGTTTCATCTAAAATTGCGAGCCATATAGAGATTAATTGACTTGGCATGGGCGTTTCAAGTCACTTGCAAGCTTGAGCTTGCGACAAGAGATGCAAAACAAGAAAACACAAATCGGTTCACTTGATCGTCACGTCGGGCTTTGAATCATGGCCACTTACACGCTAAAGATAAAGTCCGCAAACTTTTTCGTGTCCACCGTTTTGCCGTCTGCTTCCAAAAGCTCCGGGACGTTCTTCTTGATAAATTCGAGCTGCGACGCATCAAAGCGCTCTTCAATCTGCTCAAACGTCAGCTGTTCACCAGTGAGAATGTCCAACGCCTCGTGCACATCGTCCTTTGTAGAACCACTCTGCAGCTGCTCCGTGCAGAAGGAAGAAAACTGCTCAAACTTGATCTCATCGTTGTCCATCTCGTCAATCTTGTCAAAATAATCGTGACAGTCGTCCTCGCTAAGGCTCAAGCCAAGACCCTTGCACGCCATGATGAACTCATCGCGAGCAAGAACACCGTCATTGTCCAAGTCAAAGTGGTCAAAGACCTCCTTAATCTCCTTTGCCTGCTGAGGAGTAAGGCTGCCCACCTCGCTCAGCGCCAATTCCTTCTCCAGCGACTTGACCTTGTCACGCACGGCCGTCTCAAGCGAGGTGAACTGCGCACGCAGACCATGGATTGTGTCTGTCGTAAACGGATTCGTGTGCACTTGCAGTCGCTCCAGCTCCTCGTTGATGCGCTCCAACTTCTCCATATCGTCGGTAAGCGGAGCAATAATTTCCTCCGCCTTCGCCTTCGCCTCTTCAACCTGCGCCAACTTACTCTCCTTCGTTTCAGCAGTCACATCCTCAGAATTGTCGCCTCCTTCATTCTCCGGGGCGGTCTCGGTTTCAACTGCGGGCTTCACGACCCCCTCAGCAATAGGCATCTCAGCTCCGGTGATTTCAGGGTCTTCAGGCTTCTCCTCAGTCTCTTCCTCGCACGTGAGAATAGTGTTGGATCGAAACAGTCGGTAATGGAGTTTCGCCATTGAGGTGAACTGGTCCTTGAGCGATCCCTCCACAACGTTGATCGACTGCGTGCTCTGAACACAGCGTTCCTTAATACGGGCAGACAGCATCGCAAATTCGCGGCACACCTCATCGCGCGTCTCTACATTCAAAAGCTCCTCCTCATAGTATCCGCGCTTCTCGGCCAGCGAGCCTAGAAGTTTCTGTACGCGAGCATTTGTCTTCTCAATAAGAGCCACTTCGCTAAAGCGACCGGCATCCTCCAAGATCTGCTTCTTCTCAATAAGCTTTTCATTCTCGCTTACTACAGCGTTCTGCACCTTAGGGACCAACACAGTGTCAAACTGGTGCTTGGCAGCAACTACGCCAGCCGTAGACACGTCCTCGAGCTTCGCAGCCGCCTCCACTTCCTCGTCCATCTCTTCGATAACGTACTTGAGATTACGCATCAGCGCCTTGGCGTCCTTGGCCACAGCATCCACATTTTGCTGTAGACGAAGGCTTTCCTCCAATCTAGCCTTCACACCCTCAATCTTGCTTTCAGCCATAGCGATAAAGTTTTTCATCGCCTCCAGCCGCTCGAGCGTGACCTTAGTGTCCGAGTGCTCCTCCGAAAGCCCGTCGGCTTCGCTAATGACCGTAGCTAGGAGCTGCTTGTAGCGTGGGAGCTCAATATCATGCAGAAAAGCAACGCTCTCGAGCTTCTCCTCTGCGTCGGCAGTGGAGTTGACCTGCAGGTCATCAGCAAAGAGAGCCAGCGCCTCCTTTTCCTTGGTCCAGCCCTCGACCTTCTCTAGGTCCTTTATCACCTTAGTAAGGAAGATCTCCGTCTTCTGGTAACTTTCCAAGTTTTGACGCAGTTTCAGCTCAAAGGCCGTTTCCAGCTCGTCAAGCTGAACCTTAAGCGCCTGCAATTTCTCAATGGGTGGGTTCAAATTTGGTACTGCACGCCCATTGTTCTTGCAACTAGCAACCCAACGACCAGCGCATCCTTCCACAGCGACAAACTGCGCCTCTCGCGGTGGTTTCTCGTTCTTCTTGTAGTCAAGGTGACGAGCCAACGCTTCTTTGATATCCGGTATGTGGCGAGGCTGGCTGAGCGTCTGCAAGCGTTCCGTCTGCTGCTGAAGCCACTCCAGCAGGCCCGATGCGTTCTTGTTGAACTCAATCGCGAGTTCCTGGTGGCGCTGCGCAATGTTCAGCGCCTTGGAAATCGTCGTCACGGCCTTCTTCTTCTGCACACCCGATGCGAATTCCTTGAAGAGAAGAGAGACGTACGTGGTAATACTCTTTTCATCAGGCTTCGCCTGTCCCGCCACATTCTCCACCTCGAGCAGCTGCGGGATGCGGAACTTTTCACGAGCAATGTCGAAGGCAAGCTTGACATTGGTTTGTGGATCCTTAAGGTTCAACGCGTTAAAGTCAATAAGCGTCGGCGCATACCGATGAATCAAAGCACAAAAGGCCATGCCGTCCGCCCAACTACTAGAAAAGTTCTTGACTTGCACGGTCGGATAGTCGGCCAACGACCGATTGACCCAGAGTAGCAGACCATCTTTACCAGAGACGCCTTCCACGTCAATCTCAGCCACTTGAAAAGCCTTGATGAGCGTCCACATGAGACCAAGTACCAGTTTATTGTTGCCGTCCAGAATATCAGACGAGCCAATGTTCGTGACGTTCACATTCTTCTTTTGCATAAAGGCAAATGCAAAATTGAGATTCTCCATCTTCTGAATCCGCATACGCGGTTTCTTATTGAATTTCTACACTCATACAAAGTCAATCAAGTAAGTATTCACCACTCATATCTCCCTCTCTTTCTCCTCTTAACAAATAACGTACACGGCACACTTTCTCACGGCAGACAATCTGCAGTAGCGAAATAAGACGAATACCGTCCTTCAGGTCTTCGTACAGGTCTTCAATTGTCATTCGTTTACGTGATAAGTACGTATTGGCCCACTAGAATCAAACTAATTGTTAGTCCCATATCATCACGTCTCAATAAGAAAAAAAAACATGTCTCCTCGTTCTCTTACTCGTGTAAAAGTATTCTTTTGTACATCGACCCATTCTTCATGATATCCAGCCATTGTCGTTTACTAAAATATGTCTCTTCTTTCAACGCTTCCGTCTTAAACTTCCTTCTACTCTTTCTTCTATAATCGCGTCAAGTAACACGTGGAAGAATGAGATCAACTCTATCAAATAATAAACTTAATATGGATTAAGTCAGACACGGCTGAGGAGACTGAGGTGATTTTCGAAATGCTACGCGCCTGTTTCCGATTTTCTCGATTGACGGCCACGTTCTTGTCTCACAAAGTCCTTACGTTAGAATTCTATACAGTTTCTGTACCGACAGATCGTATATGGGCCCTACCCCTTTGATCGACAAATACCTAGACTTTAGTATAGTCGACCCATGGGTCACAAAACAAACCCACGCATTTCACATGTGTATCACGCTTGCATGTGCGTAGAAAAAAGCCAGCAAAAACGGCTTGCTGGTTTGGGTCCAGCAGACTCTTATTAAGTTTGAAGTGACATATGCGGACTTTGAAAAGTGCTGAGGTTTGCTCGCAGTCTTGAGAGTACGTAGAAAGTAACTTTACATTCAACTCGTTTGCCTTGCGATCGATCAATTCTTTTGAAGGTCAATGCGACGGCAACACACGTCAGTTCGTTTCGACACTTTTCCGGACACTTTTTTTTACCGACGCAAAGCTGCGTCGTTGAAATCGTCGCCTTGCTGCTGCTTGACGAAAAATAGGTTCTACACCTCTTGAGATAGTCGAGTTTTCCATGCTTTGACGAGGTCGAAGGACCGTGCGAACGAACGCGGTCTTGTCAATAGGACGACAACTTCAACTGTATGTAGCGGACGAAGCAAGTGAACTGTACATTGGGCTCTATGCACGATATCGACGTTTCATTTTGGTTTCTTTGCCTTGAAAATACTTTGTTCGAGTTCACTGTCACCCATTCTCACCCCGTTAAGCCGCATGCATATCACCATAAATGTCTCAAGTCCAGCCTGAGCTGTTCATGCAAACTACGTTTCATCTTAATACACTACCATCAAGCTCGTCAAATTGAAGGGCAAGCTTACGTGGCGATTTGAAGACACGAAATGGTGTAGCTTTTCCCTTTACAATCACGCATCACCTTTTCATTCTTCAACTTCGACTGCATTATACCGACACATTGTGTACGCTGCATGTTTCTGCGGACAACTGACCAAGCGATCGTTGTGAGTAATAAATGTATACAGTGTTCAGAACTTCGCTTCGTCTGCAGATGAAAGACATGTATCATTCTAATGCATGTAAACAATTAATGGACCCTACAAGAAAGCCATGGAGTAATAAAACTCTACCAGACTGCGCTCTATTACCTGAGCGTGTAAGCAAATTTGAAATCAGCTAAGATGTAAGAAATGCGGATAAAGTGCCGGCCCATTATGCCAATATGTGAATCGTAGGAGGCTGCTGCCTAGTTTCCCCTTCCTGCTTTATCTCTAAAGCTTGGACGAGCTCAAGTTCGTCCACAGGAGCCCACACCTTGCGACCGTTGTCGAGCTGGATAGCGTAAGGGTTGCCTTGGTCCCAAAGCTGCACAACTGTGCCAGCCTGGAAGCCTTGATCGCCAGTGTTAGTCACGACCCTGTCCCCTACTCGAAAGCGGAGGTCTTTTGTTGCTCGACAAGCCAGAAATCCTTCCGTGAGCGCCGAGCGGTCGAGGTTTTTGCCGATGAAAACAAATCGTGTCTCACGCGTCTCGCCTGGGGCCCAATTGTCAGCGAATCGGCCGTTGAATAGCGTATGCACGCCTTGAAAAACGTACTTCTGGTCTATGCCAGCGACATTTACAACGCCCTTGAAGCGCAATAAATTATCTCCTTCCGTCTCTAAAAGATCGTCGATCCACTCTTCTAGCAGTGCCACTAGAATTGGTTCTTGTAGGGTAAGACCCACGGACGACACTAACGAATGGTTGTGTCGACGCCCATTGTGCTGCTCCTCACCTTCATGCGTGTGATCATGGTCGTGCTCGTGATCATGGGGGTCATCATCCTTCTTATCTGCGGGCCGATGAGAATTGCTATCTTGCTTACTCTTAAGGAAGTCGGGCTGCCTCTTTAGGATGGAGTCCAAGCTGAAAGTATGAACATTGAGCAGTAACGCTGGGTTCACTCGACAGTGCTGGCATTCAGTGATCGACACTGCGCTGTTGATGCCGCGAATTTGAGATCGAATATTCATGAGCTCGGTCTTGCTGACAAGATCCGTCTTGTTGAGAAGGACGCGGTCGGCAAAAGTGATTTGCTCCTGGCACTCATGCTCCACGCCGGCGCCTGGGCGAAGATGCTGCAAAATGTGCTTCGCATCGATAACGGTGATGATGCCGTCGAGCTCGCACGTTGCCGCTACCAAAGGCTCGGCAAAGAAGGTCTGCACTACAGGACCAGGGTCGGCCATGCCAGTGGTCTCGATGATGATCCCGTCTAGCTGTTTGTGGTCCCCGTTGCGTTTGATGATCTGAGCGATTAACCGAACGAGGTCGCCGCGCACGGAGCAGCAGATGCAGCCGTTGCTCATTGTCAGCACCTCCTCGCCCATGTTGAATTTGCGACTCCTGGAATCACCTCCGGTCAGGTCATTTGGACCGGTAGTTTGACGAATGAGCTGGTCATCGACGCCTACTTCACCAAACTCGTTTTCAATGATGGCAAACTTTTTGCCGTGATTCTCCGTAAGCAAGTGGTTTAATAGTGTTGTCTTGCCACTGCCAAGAAAACCCGTTAAAATCGTAACGGGGAGCTTTGATGGAGTAAACGATCGCTTGGACATCGAGCTGTTTTGCTAATGGAGCCTTTGAGTGGTTGTTCAAGTCTGCGAACGGGTGAGAAATGGAAAGTGGGAGCGTCATTTGCTCCAAAAGTTTTGCTAAAAACCAATTGATCTCAAGTCTCCATGCTGGTTCAAGTAAGACAGATCGGTACACCACCGTCGGACAGGATGAGTACTTGCCTTATGGTGTCCTTTGTGGATTACTTGTATTACAGGTTGTGCAGATACTAATCAGTAGGTATTCGACTATAACCGGTACAGGTATTGTCCGTTACGCCTGATTCCGCCGTCGGGTACAATTGTTTACCCTACTCAATACTATTCCGACGGCGGTACAGTTTGTTAAAACTGCAGGAATTAATATACCGAAAATAGAATGACAATCATCAATTCAATAAAAGCTAATAGAAAACTAATGCAATTTTTTTATAGGATACAGAGTGATCAAGTAAGACAGGAACTCGACGTTACAACACCTGCAAAGTCAAAGCTCAAGATTATTTAATGTTCCGCCAGTATTAACCCACCGTGACTTCTTGTGTATGTAGCCGAGCTGCACAGCTCATTAGCCAGAGGAAGACTTTAGGCTGAAAGCCTCTTAGCTCTAGAGAACTAAATAAATTTACGGCTAAAAGCCACTTAGTTCAAAGGAGCTAATTAAACGACTTAAAGTCACCCTGTTCTAAGGAACGAGAATATAGACTTTTAGCCTGCAAGCAATAAGCTTAAGGTTTAGAAAACCTACGCACCGAGTGCAAGAACAAGCTACAAGCTTAAAGGTTCAGAGAACCAACGCACGAAGTGCACAAGAGAACAAGTCAGAACGACTTGTGATGTTAAACTCAAAATGAGAACTGATTTTATTTATGCTTTATCATTTAATGAATAGTCCTACTCTAAGTACCCTACAATAGATTAATTACTATAATGGTACTTATTATATGCAGACTTTGCAATAGGACGACGTATCGTCTAATCATCTGTGTATGATGTACTTATATCAGCGTTATCGATTTATCGAATCCTAATCGGTAAGATACGGTATTCGGTAATACCGTATCTTAACGCTTATACTTAATACCTCTCTAAAGAGAAGTATCAAAATGCATTATACGCAACAAAAGGAAACTTCAACCGTAAACTTTCGGAATGATGTTACAACCGTCGTGTAACCCCGTTACAGTGTCGGTCCATGTAACGGGTGATCCCGTTACATGATATTGGCACTAATATTAAGTGACAATAAAAATATTATCTATATAATAATATTCGATTATATATCCTTTGTTATAAACCATCGGGTATCTCAAGTTTTAAGATTCAAGTGCTATATCGTTGGACGGTGTCACCTGTCTGATCGGCTGTCTGACAGCTTTCCATGTGGGACCACGAGGAGAGGATCGTGCAGATGGGAAAGGGAGAGACAGGGAAACAGCTTGACAAATGGGACGACCAAGCAAAACCCCCTGACAGTTGGGACAGGGCAATACGGCTGTAATGTGGTACGAGATGGGCAGGTAAGATCAGTACCATCTGACAAGTACATGGTCAAGTTTCTGGAGTGCATGTTGTAGTATTAACAAACGAAAGTAGTTAATGATAAATATGTTTTACTTTTACTTCAACCTACTTCTCTATAAGTGCATCGTTACCTTTCCTTCAGGTTATGAGCCCAAGAAAGCGCGATGCCGGGGTAGCTCCTCAAGCTGGACCCGTCGTGGTAGCCGACGGTCCTAACAAGACCGCTGACAACCATTTGGAAGAAAAGTCGGCAGCGCCCGTGGGGGCGATGGACCATGTGCTGGCTATGCTCGGGAACCTATCCGAAAGAATAAATCGGATAGAGGTTTTTCCAGAAGGAGCAAGCAGGCAAGGACCAATAGAGGTCACTGGAATCAATTTTTGGTTCGGCCCTGAGAATGGGAGCGGTTATGACTATTCAGGCTTTGGAGCGTACCCCTTCTCCCAAAAAGTCCACGAACGTGTCGCCAGCGACGTACTTCGCGGCAAGACGTCACAATCAAGTGAATATTGATGGACGACCGGCGAATCATGTTGAAGCGGTCTTCAACATGGGTCTGGGACCTGGAACTGTACACCACAGGCAGGAGATGTCGCGGGCTACTATTCCGGTGCAGGTATGCCGAACAGGATGTATGTTCATCCTGGACCGCAAGTTGCGGGCATGCCGGACGCACAGCATCGAAAGCTCGCGATACAACCCTTTGATGGCAAGGAACTTTACCATGGTATTGGTAGTGGGTTCCTAGAATGGGGCAAGAAATTTGTTCGACAAGTGGGTTTCGCGGAGCGTGCGTGCGGGTTTGCGTGGCCGGAGAATATCAAGGTTGATGTCCTGGGCCAACACCTGACCGGCAAGGCGCAGACGTATTACCGTCGGCAGGTAGAAACTTGGGGGTCTGAAAGACAAACCTTGGAGCATGCTATGCAAAGGTTGCTTCAGACCTTCAACACCAAGATCTCACCTGCCTAGAGCATGAAGCTGTTTACGGCGTTGAAGGCAACGCACAGAAATGGGACGGATCATTTTTTGTACCTCACGGCCATGAGTGATGCGTGCGGAGGTGCGGATAATCTAGTGCTTGACAACATCGTGTACTATACGGACCCGCAAATGCGTACGACAATGTTGTCCAGGTTGGACATGCATCACATCGATCAATTACACCAGGCTGAAGAGCTGGCACAATTTGCACAGTCTACGGAGATCGACACCCATGCGAAGAATTCAGGGCGCGATGTGGTGAATGCTGTTAAACAAAGAAAGATGCCAAAATACATAGACAAGGCAAAGGTCAAGGATATCTTCCCGGATGGTGACTACCGTACATGTAACAAGTGCGGAGAGGTGGGGCACATCAAGTCGAGGTTCCCTAAATCGAAGAAGAAAGTACCAAGGACAAATTTTACCTTCGCGATTGGTAATAGTGGTGGTCTTCAAGACAACCATTAGATTCTTGAAAGTGGGTCCAGCAGACATTTAGTAGTCTTCTGGTCAACCCGGTGGACTGTCAAGGTGAATGCTTGACGGCAGCCGCTGATGGGGGTGTGCTGCGCGCAACCAAGCCAGGAAGTGTCAAAATTGAGGTTGTCGCACTTGGAATCGTGAACACCATACGGCTCCTCGATGTTCAGTACGCCGCAAATCTCGAGCGAAATATCATATCATATGGTAAGCTCGAGGCCAAAGGAGGTGTACTCGAATATGGAGGAGGGAGGCGTGTGTTGACCTCTGGGGTCGGAGGTGCACCGGTTATGGATGTTGACTGTAACAACAATGTGTTGGTTGTCGCAGTGAGGGGACCCAGTTACAAGGTATCAAGTACATCACGAGAGGTGATAATGGCTGTACTCAAATCGTCTGAACGTGAAGCCGATTCGGATGTTCAGAGTGGTACATTGATGCACTTCCATCGCCGTTTGGTCCATCTATGTTTTGATACCATCATCAAGATGGCCAATTACCCGGCCTCAGCTATAAGGCTGACTGACATAACACGCATGAATTGTCTAGCGTGTGCTTAAGGAAAGCAAGTCAAAGGAACACAGTCAAAGAAAGACACGGGCAATAACTTATGATTGGTGGATTGATTTGCTCCGATCTTGGTCCAATTGACCCCACGAGATCGTCTTGGCAATTGTTACCTATGCAATTTTATTGACCACCGGTCGAACTATTGCCGTGTTTTTTTGGCCAAGTCGAAGGATGTTGCTGCACTAAAGTTCAAACACTTTCTTGTGAGCTTTGAGCGTAAGTTCAATTGCAGAATCCACGTGCTACGCACTGATGAAGGTGGTGAATACAAGACACTGGATGTGTTTTGTGAGGGCGACTGGCGTCTCGCGTCAAGTGAGCGAAGCCAGAAACCAAGCCAGTAATGGTAAGGCTGAACGGATGCATCGGAACATCATGAATATGGTGCAAAGTATTCTGTTCGCCTCGAACCTACCTCTGTTTTTCTGTGGGGATGCTGATGAATATGCGGCTTATATCCTCAACCGGAGCAGAACCAAGTCGAACCCTGATGGTGTATCCCCATGTCCAGTCCTTACTAGCCACACCTTGGCTCTCCCCCGACTCGTCCGTCGTGTCTCCGCCTGTTGGTGCCTTCATCTTGGTATGCTTTTTTTTGTCCTTGGGCACCGTTGGATTTTGAGTAGTAGTTTGAAACACTTGTTTAGGGGTCCATTTTTTTTAGCTTTCGCTGTCAAACTTGGGACCCCTGGACCATAGTATTTATTATGGCCCACGTTGTCTTCTTCAACGAAGACGTAAGGGGTAGGACTTTTTGGCTTTTCTTCATATTCCACCTTGACCTCAATAGCAGAGCTCCTCCCCGGGCTTTGCAGGTCTTCCGATCCTTCTTCATTCTTAATCACTGGCGATCCGGGTTCCAGTGTCTTGGTCGTCCCTTGTTCCATCTTGAACGTTGTCTTTTCTTCTTCGTGGGACTCACGGTAAAATCCAGCGTCTCCCGAAGAACCGGACACGCGCACCATTGTGGTGAAGTGGATTCTCAAACAACGTGAGAGAACCACAAACACACACAGCGCCGGACTGCCGACTTACGGAGGGAGTACCCCGATAACTTGTCGTGTTAACCTTGGGTCTCACCTTGTGTAACCGTCGGCTTGGCTGGTCTTGATCCTCGGTTGACGCAGAAGACTTAAAGACTTGGTCTTTGTATAAGACTTGGACTTGGTGGTCCCCGAGTGGAAATACTTCACTCGGGTCCGGGTTTCTTGTGCTAAATCGACTTTAGTCGAGAGCGATGCACCTGGTACTATGTACCCCTTTGGTGGCTGACTGCTCTTGGTCCTTGGACCCCTTTGTGTTCTTCCCCGTAGGGAAATCGCTTCCTGTAGCGGGTCGTAGAGTCTTGACACTTTCTTGACACCTCAGGCCAACTATCCTGAGGTTCAACTTGCGTAGCTCGAGCTGTCTAACACCTGCTGACGTCGGGGAGCCAAAGGGTATC